GAAATAATAGCTATCGGGAAACAAAAACGATGGGCAGAGCGCCGTAGGATAAATAATTACACACGAATAACACACCAACATCAACCTGCTCGTGTATTCATATATTAGTTTCGTATAATTTCACAGCTCTTCTATATAAACCATATCCGCCCACCGCAGTGAATGATGCACGTTCGGCTTTAGAGAGAATACAGGTGGTAAAGGGCGGTGGGTGTGGGTGGGGGGGCCACAACTTGGACATTAAAACACTACAAAAATTAAGCAATTTAAAGGAGGTAGAAAATACTGCAATTACATTCGTAAATGAATGGTACTGCAATGTTAAAAGCGTGCGCTCGGATATCCGAATAGTGAAGTCAATGGGGGCCGATTTGTGGGAAGAATCTGTCCTCGCCCTCCCCGTCTGTGACAGGTGACCAATGTGGGCCACAGGTCTCGCCTGAATAAAGGGGACTATTTCAAGTGTCCACGGGCTCTCGTGTGCCTTGTCAATCCACTGCGAGACGAGGGACTTCCCACGCCGTGTGGGTCGTGGGGGGTTTATCTGGCCAGTGCGGGCTGGTGAATGCGGGGAGCATAGAGACGTTGCAGCGTGGTACATAGTACAGTACAACTGACTCTGCTGCACGGCACCTTCGCCCCCCCCCCCACCGCTCTGACAACCAATCTCCCTAATGATGACCATGGTGACGATGTCAGTGATGATGAATGGGCTTTGGCTTGGCTTTAAACAAAGTATCCTGAACACATCACCCTTGCGAAGTGTGACCACAAGTTGGTGGTGATGCAGACCTGGGAAGGGTTTCGCCAAAGAAATCGGAAGCGAGAAATTCCCTCGACACAGAAATTGAGCCCCCCCCCCTTTTAAAAAATCTTGGCATCGATCACCAAAAGGAGCCAGCAACGCATTACCTTCAATAGCCAAGCGTGACTTCACTGTCGTTTATAACCGCAAACATTGCGCTCTCTGCTCAAGCGGCCTGCTGTAGAGAGACTCCATTCGTTCGTACGCTAATTACGCATACCTGTCAACCCATATCGATTTACCCGTATTCTTGTGCAGGTAAAATTAGTTTTCAGGTCTATACGGCGTACAGCCGTTTCAATACGGGCAAAAAGAAAACGTTTGTCTATTTGTTTGTGTTTCTCCCTTGTGATGGGACTTTGTAGGATGAATGTTGAGATTTATAAGGGCACGGGGTGACCACTACAATCTGAATTGGTCTGTAATAAGGTAGGGCACTGATAAGGGGCTTCACAGGTATAACCTCTACAAGCAACGTTACTGCTACGTCCATTAGACAGCTCACGATTGTAGTCGAAACAAAATAAACTCAGTGAAGAAGTCGTCGGAACAGTGTTGTTTAATGACTGAACCTAGAAAATGAGTTCTATAGGAATTGCATGCCATCAAAATCCGAATATTTATTCATACTGGAGGAATCCGGCAGGTCACAAAGTAACTACAACAACAAAGAATACAAAACTACGATAGGATGGTGTTAAGCAACTTAACACGTAGAATTATAATGGGGACATGAAAGTCAGACAATTCGGAAGAGGAGGCTGTCATTGATGCGGCACGTATGGCGGATGGGTTAAGCAACTTGTGGGTTGGGAATAGAACGTGGCAGGCAATGCGTTGTGGATGCAATCAGAGAGAGGATGTTGCGATGGCTGGACCGCGTGTGTGGGATAGAGAAGGGAACGTTACGGAGACGGGACGACACGAAGGCAAGAAGGTAGCCGTGATGAGTGCTTCTTGAAGGATGTGCCATCTATATTCTTGGTTCTAAAGTCATCTGATGATGATTGCTTGTGTTGCAGTCGAAACGTCTTGAGAATTTGTATTGTTTAATGTTTATATTATTTTATTATTTCCCTCGAACGTGACTTTACCGAAAGAACCAAGAATATGAATCCCTGCAGTCACGAAAGCAGCTTTAAATCGAGATGTGCCATCTGTTTAACAAGGGGAAATCTTTGAGATGGCAAGAGACGGCAACAACGACCTCGGAAGTCGGGTGTCTGCGACATTCATTGTACGAAAGATGACATCAGTGTGGACGTGTCCTGTAACTTGCCGCGGCAGTGCGAGGCAAGCCAGATTCTGGGAAGAAAATCGCCTTTAGCAGATACCACAGGTGATGTCACGTAGCAGGCAGGCGGGCGATCGTTATTAGCAGACGCGTGACATCGCACCCTCGCGAGGTCGTGGCATCGTTGACATGGGTTGTGATGACATTCGATCAACGGCGAAAGGTCATTCCAACAACACCTGTAGTCCAGCCACTGGGAAGGTTGCGTTGATGGGTCACACCAAGATCAAATGTCACGTGCTTGGCGCATCGACTTGTAATGCTACCAGGTAATGCTGTAGATCATTGTTCTTCACTAATTGGCAGAGGGGGGCCGCTTTCGCCGATAAGACATCAGGGTGAGGGGCCGCCACACATTTGAAACCATTGGGGTTGATAGCATGATGGGGTGTGTTCACGTGTGTATTGTCGTGGGTCGCACTTCAGGGGCCGCACTCAAGGCCACCAGGGACCGCCAGTGGCCCGCGGGCCTTGCAATGAAGAACACTGCTGGATATGTTTGTGATCAAGTCGTTTGGAGACCTGTCTGTACAGGTTTAACTTGTTTTACATAGGTAAGCCTCTTACATGTGTAGTAATGGTTAACTCGGACACGATAACACTTGGAGGCACTTTAACGAGCACCATCGGTATCATACACAACACCACGTGGGTACACACTCTACAGTCGCTCGCCTACACACAACACCACGTGGTACACACTGTTACTGTTGCTAGCCTATACACAACACCACGTGGTACACACTGTCACTGTTGCTAGCCTATACACAACACCACGTGGGTACACACTATTACTGTTGCTAGCCTACACACAACACCACGTGGTACACACTATCACTGTTGCTAGCCTACACACAACACCACGTGGGTACACACTGTCACTGTTGCTAGCCTACACACAACACCACGTGGGTACACACTATTACTGTTGCTAGCCTACACACACCACCACGTGGGCACACACTATTACTGTTGCTAGCCTATACACAACACCACGTGGTACACAGTTACTGTTGCTAGCCTACACACAACACCACGTGGTACACACTATCACTGTTGCTAGCCTACACACAACACCACGTGGGTACACACTGTCACTGTTGCTAGCCTACACACAACACCACGTGGGTACACACTATTACTGTAGCTAGCCTACACACACCACCACGTGGGCACACACTATTACTGTTGCTAGCCTACACACAACACCACGTGGGTACACACTATTACTGTTGCTAGCCTACACACACCACCACGTGGGCACACACTATTACTGTTTCTAGCCTATACACAACACCACGTGGGTACACACTATTACTGTTGCTAGCCTATACACAACACCACGTGGTACACACTATCACTGTTGCTAGCCTACACACAACACTAACCGTCTAACACTGACGCTGATCCGAGACAGCCAACAACTGTATATCAGCGCAATATCGAGTGAAGACAACAGCGACGATGGCGACGATCTTGAGCAGCACGACGGGAACCCCACTCCAACAGCAGCCACGCTGTCTCTCACAGGGGCCCCTCTTATACTCCCCACGTGACCTCGCTCCGCCCCCTGGCCCCGCCTCCTCTCCGCCCCGGCCACCCCCTCTCCGCCCCGGCTACGCCTCCTCAGTGGAACCTTCTAGCGGGTGTTCGAGGCTTCCCGATGGGCCCTCCTCTGTTACCTTTCCCCGAGATGTCTATCATGGCCTGCTGACTTCAATACCGCCAAACACCGCAGTTCCCCTTTTTCGCCAGCAGCCAGCGCTATGCCACTACACATGCATTACCTCGAGTGCACCCACACACTTTTAATATTTCGTAAGCTAAACAGCATTGAGCCTGGAATAGTGCTTGGGTGGTCGACCATTGTGCATAACAAGTGCTGTATTCTGTGGGTCTACGGCGTGGGCAGCAGAGGGCAGTGAAATAAATTATTGCACTACACAGTACTGTACTCCTATGCTCCCAGCCTTCACCAACCCACACTGACCTGGGTCCAGCATGGTCACGATCCACAGCAATTGAACTCTGTTGTCACAGACTGGAATGAAATTATATATCTTCTTGGTTATTTCGATAAAGTCACGTGGAAGGGAAGTAATAAAATAATAAAAATAAAACAATAAAATAATTGTGCATTTTTATTATTATTGTATTACTTCCCTTCTACGTGACTTTACCGAAAGAACCAAGAATATGAATCCCTGCAGTCACGAAAGCTTTAAATCTAAATTATATATGTTAACACCCATGAATTTGCATGTTATGGGATTACATTTTTTTGAACGTGTAACCATGTAATTCAAATCCAGCCAATCCACACACAAACCTCTGTAACCGAATTACCAGGGCCACGTGTTCGCATTCGATTCACGCGCCGCGTGCATCTAAAGGTCACGTGGGACCCCCCCTCCCATCCTGGCTTCCTGGTTTGAGGAACCTAAGCGCCCAATCAGCGTCGAGCTTTAGGCGGGTGGGCGGGGCGGACCTTATCGCAACGCGATTGGCTGAACCAACTTACTCGTCACGTGGTGCGCTCGTGACCAATCTTTGGCGGGAACGTTTGTCGACGCGCACTGGGAAATGTAAAGCGCGGCTCGATTCTCTACAGGAGAATCGATATTCGCGATTCCGATACTGATTGCAATTGAGAAATCAATCACCGTGTTGTCTTGCCCGTCTGTCAGTGTCAAGTTTGCTCGATTAATTATACCCAAGCTATCATTTGTGCGGAAATATAAGCTCGAGAAACGAAACCTTCCCCACCCTCACAATCGTTTGTGAGACTTGATGAATCGAACTTTGGAGTCGCCTTGTCGATACGCCGGATCGTAATCGACACGCGGCTGCTGCGACTGCGGAGCGCAAGGTGAGGTTACCCAGTTGCCTGGCAACCGCCGTTACCCTCGAGTTAAACTCTCGCCGATTTAATGTCGCCCGTGTTGTCGATTTAAAGCTTTCGTGACTGCAGGGATTCATCTTCTTGGTTCTTTCGGTAAAGTCATCACGTAGAAGGGAAATAATAAAAATAAAACATAATAAAATACAATTCTCACGACGTTTCGGCCACATTTTATTATTTCCCTTCTACGTGACTTTACCGAAAGAACCAAGAAGATGTCGCCCGTGTTGTTGTTGGTGTTGCTGCTGATGCCGTGGCAGCTGCCGTGCACCGCGCACGTGCGCAGATAAAGCCGCCACTGTACGCCACGCGGTGGGACAGTGCACTGTATACACGTGGAACTTCTTTCGCACCGTACGTAGCCAACCGCGCCGATCGGAGGTGTGTCATTGAAAATGTAATTATTGTGTACGTATGGGCTGCCTTTTTTCGACGTGGAAGGCGTTTCCACGAGTTCAAGACAACATCGCAGTCGTATAATTAAAGTTAATCGGATGACGCCGTATTATTAATCTCTGTGTTTGTAAAACGCACCGGAAAGTAAGACGCACCCCAGTTGCAAGGCAAGGACAACAAAACTAAACGCACACACACACACAAAAGCAGTTCTAATAATGAGTTTCCACTCGAGGTGATTTAAAAGTGCTAAATAATCGGAAGGAAGTGTTTCAGTTTCATTTATTAGGTATAGCCCTGTGAGCAATTCGGCTCTTGAATCGGGTGCAACCGCAACAAACAAAAAACTAAAACATGAACAAGAAAACATCTTAAAGTGACTAAGTGCAAACAGAAAAATCAAGGAAAAAACTGCAAAGTCTTCCAGAAAAAAATCACCGTACACCAACGCTGTGCAAAAATCCCATTGGGATGCAAGTCAAACAACAACAACCACAAGACAACTTAGATTAAAGCCATCATTCTAACCCCGTACTACAACAAAAAACATGGCCAAACCCAAAAACACGTTTTCGAAATCACCAAAATAAAGCCATAAAAGCAATGTTACAGTGATCATAGGAACTGTGACCAAAATTTCACAATAAACGACACGAGAGCGTTCCAGACGGCCGCGAGGAGCAGCGTCTGAAAACAGCGCCTCTATCTGTGATGATGAGCCGAGTTCGCGTGGTTGATGATGATGATGGTGGTTTATTCTCCTCGGTACTACGTAGTGTGTTTGTTTATAACTCGTTAAATTATTTGGAGATGCTGCTGTTGCTGCTTTGGCAGTGGTGCACAACCACAACAAAGCCCGATTCGGTCGATGTACCTTCATAGCACACAAACGCGGTACAATGTTACATTGTGATAACTTGTGCCAATGTTATAATTGCTATATTACAACGGACCATTATACTACTAATGGCCGTTTGTAAACGTTTTGTGTTCGGGGCCGGTCCATAAATGACGTCACGCACTGGGGGGGGGGGGGGGGTCAGACCTGTGTGACGATGTGTGACGAGGGGGGGGGGGGGTTAAGAAATGTGACGTCACATCAAAATGCGCAACTTTAAATAAGTATAGACGACACGTTCTACTTAATTAAATATACTTTTTTATAAATGTTTTCTCCTACAACATCAGAGTGCAGCGCCGCATTAAATATGCACTACAATGACAATAGTTTAAAGCGATTTGAAGCATGTTTTATATTTTTTTGGGGGGGGGGGGCAGAGCTTTGTGACGTCATATTTGAGAGGGGGGGTCTGACTTTTTGTGACGCCGTGTGATGGGGGGGGGGGTCAAAAATAGCCCAAAATCGCGTGACGTCATTTATGGACGGGCCCAAAGCACAGTACGAGGGTAGCCGGTTTCACAGCGCGGATCGCTCATTACTGCACCCACCGCTTGCCGTCATAAAGAACACACGGCTCCTTTTTTTATTAACAATTCTGCTGCTGTGTTCATCCAGCTACTGCAGGCGTCAGCAGGGCTCCGAGGGCTGGCCATGATGTACCACAGCAGCAGCAGCAGGGTGGCTCAGCTGCTCCTGCAGCCCGAGGGGATGGACCCCAGTGCGGTCATCACGTGCGTGTGCAGCCGCGCCTTCGTGAGGTCAGTGGCTCACCCACCCACCCAGCTGAGGCCGCTCGTTTAAACCGAAAGGGGCCATCCGTTTGGTAGGTACGCAAAAATCTGTCAAAACCTGACCCCTCCCTGTACGCACGCAGACTTATTACACCCCCCCTCCCCACCTGCGTACGTCCACGCAGAAACGATCAAGGATCAATAATGTTAACGTGTTTAAGCAAACAGTCCACCGCCGGACTGTCTAACTCATTTGAAGGCCCATGTAGACAAATTATTATCGAGGCTTCACCCCCCCCCCCCCCCCGTACGTACATCGTCAGTAGACCCCCCATACGCAAGCGTAAGCATTTTGGTTACCCCCCCTCCCCCCTCCATGTGTACGCACTCAATGGATGGCCCCTAACACGACAGTTCTCATTCCGAACTCGACAACTGTCCCTCCCGCCGACTGGAGCTGTATAACACGCTCACGCACACACCGCGAAATTCTCAAAGAGCAAAGCTTTGTGTTCACCTCACCTGAACCTATCTCGTACCCCACCTCACAGAACTTCACCCAGGGTGATCTGTGGGGGAAGGGGGGCTGTAAGGGACAGTGATTGGTTGTGGGGAGCTGTGGGGGGCTGTCAGGGTCCGTGTGGGTGGTTTCTGCCGCTGACCCACGAGTGGTTTTCCATCTCCGTGGTGAGAGACAGTTTGTTTCTTCTGGGCTCCCCCCCCCCCACCGCTCGACTGCTTCCTACACTTTAACCTCTGTCTTCGTGCGGCTGTTGTGACCGGGGAGCATTGCTTATGAAACGTAATGATGTGATGATATTGGGAATCAATCCCTGCAAATGTACGTCCATCGATCCAACGTCGTTCACTATTGTGGTGCCGCAGTACGGGAATCGCGCGATGCAATTTGCTCCCGTTTTTTTCTTCATTTTTTGAATGCGCGTCGTCGTTGTTGTTGGTCAGACTTGGGAAAAAAACAAGTGTGAAATGGGTTTGACCTCCCCCGCCGGTGCGAGGCTAGCCAAATTCTGGGAAGAAAGTAATTTCTGTCTGGTGTTCGATGCCGGTCTGTCGATGCCTTCTTTTAAACGCGGTAAACAGACGCTGCTAGAAAGCATCGATCCCACAGTCTGTCCAAATAACATTTCAGTTTATTTGGCAATACGTTGATGGGTTTTTTTTGCGCAGAATAGGGCCCCCATGGTGGAGGGCTCTTGCCTATAACAGCAGGCAACAAGTCGCCTTTGTTTAACGGGCCACACCTTGTTGGTGAGACTCAAAAAAAGTCAAAACTAGGATTGAGTTTCCTGCTTAAACAAATGCGAATACTGTAGCTTGATGTACGTAGAGATATATATATTTTTGTGACGAGAAACTGACTTTTGTATTACCCACAATTCTCCATGATGGCCTATGGTGAGTATCTGTCAGTCGTCCTCTCTTAGTTTTTTGTCTGTGTCCACATCAGTCACGTAATGACGCATCGATGAATCTATTGCATATATGTGGTAAAATGATTTATCTTCGTCTGTCCATTCACGTGGCCCTCCATCTGTCTGTCCATGTAGTGGGGACCGGTGGCGCAGCGGTTAGCGCGCCGCGCTACGGACCCGGCGACCCGAATTCGATTTCCGCTCACGGACAACAACCTGTAACGATTATCTGAACCGGTACTGGGACTCCCTATGGACAGTGAGGGGAAAAAAGTACTTGATCCCCTGCTGATTTTGTACGTTTGCCCACCGACAAAGAAATGATCAGTCTATAATTTTAATGGTAGGTTTATTTGAACAGTGAGAGACAGAATAACAAAAAAAAAAATCCAGAAAAACGCATGTCAAAAATGTTATAAATTGATTTGCATTTTTATGAGGGAAATAAGTATTTGACCCCTCTGCAAAACATGACTTAATACTTGGTGGCAAAACCCTTGTTGGCAATCACAGAGGTCAGACGTTTCTTGTAGTTGGCCACCAGGTTTGCACACATCTCAGGAGGGATTTTGTCCCACTCCTCCTTGCAGATCTTCTCCAAGTCATTAAGGTTTCGAGGCTGACGTTTGGCAACTCGAAACTTCAGCTCCCTCCACAGATTTTCTATGGGATTAAGGTCTGGAGACTGGCTAGGCCACTTCAGGACCTTAATGTGCTTCTTCTAGAGCCACTCCTTTATTGCGTTGGCCGTGTGTTTTGGGTCATTGTCATGCTGGAATACCCATCCACGACCCATTTTCAATTCCCTGGCTGAGGGAAGGAGGTTCTCACCCAAGATTTGACGGTACATGGCCCCGTCCATCGTCCCTTTGATGCGGTGAAGTTGCCCTGTCCCCTTAGCAGAAAAACACCCCAAAGCATAATGTTTCCACCTCCATGTTTGACGGTGGGGATGGTGTTCTTGGGGTCATAGGCAGCATTCCTCCTCCTCCAAACACGGCGAGTTGAGTTGATGCCAAAGAGCTCCATTTTGGTCTCATCTGACCAGCAACACTTTCACCCAGTTGTCCTCTGAATCATTCAGATGTTAATTGGCAAACTTCAGATGGGCATGTATATGTGCTTTCTTGAGCAGGGGGACCTTGCGGGCGCTGCAGGATTTCAGTCCTTCACGGCGTAGTGTGTTACCAACTGTTTTCTTGGTGACTATGGTCCCAGCTGCCTTGAGATCATTGACAAGATCCTCCCGTGTAGTTCTGGGCTGATTCCTCACCGTTCTCATGATCATTGCATCTCCACGAGGTGAGATCTTGCATGGAGCCCAGGCCGAGGGAGATTGACAGTTCTTTTGTGTTTGTTCCATTTGCGAATAATCGCACCAACTGTTGTCACCTTCTGACGCAGCTGCTTGGCGATGGTCTTGTAGCCCATTCCAGCCTTGTGTAGGTCTACAATCTTGTCCCTGACATGCTTGGAGAGCTCTTTGGTCTTGGCCAAGGTGGCGAGTTTGGAATCTGATTGATTTCTTCTGTGAACAGGTGTCTTTTATACAGGTAACAAGCTGAGATTAGGAGCACTCCCTTTAAGAGTGTGCTCTTAATCTCAGTTCGTTACCTGTATAAAAGACACCTGGGAGCCAGAAATCTTTCTGATTGAGAGGGGGTGAAATACTTATTTCCCTCATTAAAATGCGAATTAATTTATAACATTTTTGAAATGCGTTTTTCTGGATTTTGTTGTTGTTATTCTGTCTCTCACTGTTCAAATAAACCTACCATTAAAATTATAGACTGATCATTTCTTTGTCAGTGGGCAAACGTACAAAATCAGCAGGGGATCAAATACTTTTTTCCCTCACTGTACGTATGTTGAACCCCTTTTGCATTGTATGTAGCCAACCGTGCTAATCAGAAGTGCGGTAGAAGGACTACAAACCAAACTAAATGCAATGAGTACCCGGTGCTGTGTGTAAATAGCACCACTGGGGAGGCAAAAGCGGCCGGGCGTGGTATTGGCCACCCACCCTCTCGTATGCTGTGCGGGCCTTCATAGGTGTTCGCTAACAGCACTTGTCCTAACCGTCTGTAAATAGGCTGTCTTTGTGCCTCACAGGGACCACGAGCTGTGCCGCTGGGGTGTGAAGGGAAGGCCCACGGACGACGAGAGCTCCGAGGAGCACGAGGACAACAATGACAGCATCCCGCGTGAGTTTCATCTCTTTCGTCAGCAGTTCACGGAGATTTGAAATCACTCGTAAAAAAAAGTAAATTTTGCTCCTTTAAGACGTTTGTAAAACCATGTAATGGCTTTAAAATGTATTTGTATGTTCAAAAATCAAATACGTGAACCGTATGCCCTTTTATGTTTGCTTGTCAAGCAAATAAGTTGCGGTTGCAGTGAATGACATGTCCAAATGAGCTCCCATGCGACGGATTCGATCCGATTGTAGTTACAATCTGGACGCTACCGTAAAAACAATGCTTAAATCACAGCACACAACGCCAGGAGTCGCTGCCAAGGAGAAATATTTTTTGGAAAAGAGTAAAACCTGTCTGGTGTATGTATGTTGAACTTCTTTCGCACCGTACGTAGCTAACCGTGCTAATCGGAGGTGAGAAACCTGCTCGGCTTGGATGAATAAAACAGGGCAATTCAGATTTTGAGACGTTTAAATATTTCTCATATTTATTAATGGCATCATTCTAATTGTTATTGTGACAGGAGCTAATTTCCAGTTTGTAAACGATTCCATGAAATGCACAAGGCATTAAATGCACTTTTAATATAGGGCTAATTGTCGGTGGTTGAATTGTCACATTTACTTGTACATCACACAGCCTCCAGTGCCTTGGAGTCAGAGGAAGAATATCAACCAGATGAAGGGCTTGGCCAGTGTGATGATGATGAGGATGATGATGGAGGAGGTAATGTGAGAGATGGTGGAGGAGGGGATGGTGAAGCTGATGATGATGAAGAAGAAGTGAGTAGTGAAGAGGACGGCAAAAATGGAGGTTGTGGTGCTTGTGAAGACACTGATGACGACGATTACAGCGTCAGTGATGGTGGCGACGTTAGTAATGATGGCGGCAAAGGGACAGGAGGTACAGAAAAGAGGACTCTGGGCAGTGAACGGAGCGAGGAGGATGAAACTGAGTTGATGAGAGTCATGGGGCTTCCAGCACAGTTTGTCAGCTCGGACAGAAAGGGAAGAAAGGTTAGTGTGTGTGTGTGTGTACACACATCGTTCTTTTGAATGAGCACGTTTTGATCGGTATTAAATGTTTATCACCTATTCATTACGTTGATTGTGTCACGCAATTTAATTAACATAGCAGGTAACGATTGATAATTAAAATTGATTCTTAAGATCGCAGTACGTGAATAAGAGCATCACCGTGAGAATCGATTATTTACAATTTAGGCAAATTACATGCGAATTGTCATCCACATGTGGGGAGTGGGGGGGGGGGGTGGGGAGATGCTCATCCAGCAGCGGAGTGACAGACGAGGACTGCTCGTTTGTATATTATATTAACAATTTTTACTGAACAATTTTTTACTTTACCAGGTAAGGCCCACTGAGCTATATAGCTCAACGAAGTGGCTTATCACGTGGGCATTCAGAGCAGCCAAATACTCCTAAGCGCATGTTGATTATATGTCGCTGGCGCAGGTTTAACGTGCGCATGTTGTGTCGCGCGCTTGTCAGTCTGGCGGCCGTGGCGCCGACAGTCACCCTGGGGGCTCGCGCTGTCGCTCGGCCCGAGGGGGACGCGGAGCAAACGGTGGCCGCGGGGAATCTCGCTCCGTGGGGACGCGGCGGCACCGGCGCCCAGCCACGGGGAGGCCGGGGGTAACGACCAACGCGGCACTCGGCAACGGCTGCGCTTCTACCACTGCCGCCACAACCACCGTCCGCACTGCCGTCAACACAACCAATGCCGTCGTCGGCATCGCCGATGCCACCGCCAATGCTGCTGCTAGCACCACCAATGCCGCCGCCACAGGTGTGGGGGAGGAGGCGTCCGAGGCGGAGTGGCAGAGCTACTGGAGCCTGTATGGCGAGTCGCTGCTGTGGCAGGCCTGGCTGGAACGCCACCCGGGGTGGGGTGCGGGCGACGAGGCGGCGCCGGCGCCGTGGAGCGGCGAGGATACCCGCCCCGAGTGGGATGCGCATGCCGCCGAGCAGCGCTACCTCTACCGCGAGCACTTCCTGTACTGGAGCGCGCAGGGCTGGGGTGTCGACACGCGGGGTGCCGGCGACACTGCATGCGTGGGGCCGGCGGTGGCGGTCGGGGGCGGTGGCGACGGAGTGGGAGCGGAGATGGGCGACGGATTGATTGAGAGGCCTGCGGGGGCGACTGTGGGCGGCCCTCGCTGTGAGAGCGACGGCGGCACCCCCGCGATGTCAGCATGCGGCGTTGACGGCGGCGTTGGCGACGACGACGGCGTTGGCGGCGGCGCCATTGACGACGGCGTTGGCGACGACGACGGCATTGACGACGACACTGTTGACGATGGCGGCGTTGCCGATGTGGGGCGCACCCGCGCGGATGGTGACGCGCCGGCGGACGTGCCGGCGGCGTGCCTGGGCGTGGCTCGCCTCTCCGTGCGGGATGGTGACACTGGCACGACGTGCCAGCGGGGAGGGGGCGGCACCGCCAAGGGCGGCCGCCGGAGAAACAAGGGTCAGAGGTCGGCAGCGGGAGCGTCGGGTACGAGAGATGAACACGCATTGGGAGTAAATGTTGTAGATGATGTGACTCGCCCCTCACTGCCGTTCTACCTGTCCTCCGTAGGGAGCCCTGCTGGTGGGTACTCAGGGCCCGGGGGCTCACGGAGAGCGGACCGTGGTGAGGGTGCGGCCGGAGAAGACGGTGATGAGGACGGGCCCCCGGATGAGGTGTCTTCTAAGATAAAGAGGAGGTGAGTGCGCGCGGTCTAGGCGGTTGAGGGGACGGACGGGAACTGAGGGGCGGCAATGTCAAGATTTTCCTGTTTGGTGGCGCAAATGGGCGCGGTTCGTGTGTCACTCTGTGTGTCATGTAAAGCATGTTGTATGTGGATATCGCATCCATTGTACTGTGCGTGTTGTGGTATATCGTATCCATGGTATTATGTGCGTCGTGTTGTTTGGGGCAGCCATGAGCTGGACGCGGAGGAGAATGCGAGCGTTCTCCAGGACGACCCCTACCTGGCCCTGGGCTTCCGCAGCGACCCGGTCGGCACGGCGCGCAGGTGACTCACAGAGGCCGCCCGCGGCTGAGATGCCCCTCTGCTGTGAACCCTAGTGGTAGCGGTGATGATAACGGCGGCGGCGGTGGTGGTGCTGTTAATGATAATGATGGTGCTAATATTAATGCTGCAGTGAGCATAAAAATTGCGGTCGCATTAGTGAACACGATGGTGGTGATAGCTATAGTAATGGTGGTCGTAGTATTAGCGATGGTGATGAGGACGAAGGTCGTGGCAGTGATAATGACAGAGATCTTATTTATCATGCAAATGATGACGGTCCAAGTAACGATGGCAGTGACGGTGGCGTTGTTGACGACGATGGCATTAAAGGTGGTGGTGTTGACGACGGTGGCAGTAGCGATGGTTGTGATGGCGCCGGTATTGATGACTAGGCAGTAATTATGGTCATGACGGCGGTTGCGTTGACGGTGAAAATTATGACGGCGACGATGTGGCTTTGCGCGCGGTTCCTTCGGCAAGGTACCGGGAGCTGCCGCGGGTCGGCGTGTGCCGAGCGACGTTCCACCACCGGCGTCTGCATCAGGAGAACGCGAAGCTCGACATGCACGGCTCCAAGAGCCGTGCTGCCTCCCACCTCTTCTTCACCGATGCCGGCGAGGCGACGCGCGCCAAGAGGAGCCGCGTCCTCCCTCAGGTGCCCGAGCGCCATGGAGTCAGATCAGACACATCGACACACCTACCTTCATCAGCACACGATCCTACCTGCCGGCCTGCCTGACTCCCGACCAACATGCATACCTACATAATCACCTGTCTAGCTATGTAACTGTCTAACTACCCACCTACCTATCCACCTGCTTGCCTGACCATCCATCTAGCCACCTATCCAATCACCCAATTGCTACTCTCACTTGCTTACCTATACAATCAACTACCTACGCACCTCACCTGAATAAACACCCGTTTTGCTACGTAACCAATTAATTACCCTCACATCTACCTACTTAGCTAGCCACTCACCTACTCGCCTACATAACCAAATAATTATTTCCCTACCGACCTACCTCGCTTTCTACCTACTTAACTACCTAGCCAACTAGTCACCCATCTACATAAATAAACATCAACTTGTCGAGATAACCAACTAATATTCCACCTACCTTCCTCCCTCCCGACCAACATACTTACCGGCCTACCCCACCCACTCGACCGTGTTTCCCTTCTGGCCACAGGTGAAATCATTCCTGGAGAACCACGAGAAGGCATCCAAGTCTCACGGCGCGGCTCTTGAGGAGACCCAGTCCACTCCGCAGCTCGTGCCTGCAGAGAGAGACGAGGAAGAGGAGGAAGGCGACGAGGAGGAGGAGAAGAAGAACGGCGATGACGAGTGCGGCAATGAGGATGTGGCGGTGGGAGCCGCCACCGGGGGAGCCGGTGACAGCCGCGGTGGCTCCGGGGTGGACAACTCTGAGGGCGAGTCTCGTCACGGCTCGGGCGACGGCCCCCTCGGGACAGCGGGGATGTCGGCACCGCGGCAGGAACAGCACGGTGACGGTGATGACGCCAATGACGGAAGAAGAGGAGAAGGGGAGGACACGCGGCAACACGCGGCCAAACGTGCTGGGCTAACGAGAAGTAGGCAGCGCTTCTTTAACCGTGGAACCGTTTATTACGCGTAGGAATTCACTGTACCCCCCTTCCCCCGTGGGTTAGGATTTGATTGAAAATGTTTTTCTTTTCAAATCTCCGTTGTGCTTGGAATTACACTGGTAGGCAGTGGAGGTGGAGTAATGAGTTCAGCACATGTGCAGGAGCTGTGTGGAGGACTAGGAAGTTTTTGAAATTGCTTTTTTGACTAAATAAGAGCACTGTACAAAGCACAAACCGTCACAATGGGATGGGAGGGGGGAAATCCCAAACTCAGTGCTCTTGGGATTTGGGAAAGGGAGAAAATTGGGCTCACTGCCCCACCCAGGTAGGGACTACGAGCGGGAGTATAGGAGGGGTCGGGTGGGGTGGGGGGGAGGGGACAAGTAAGTTTGTGATGGCTTGCCATGTTATGGCAAATATAAAGGTTGGCATTGCTATGGATTGTTAAAGCCCATGAGAGATGGTGGTAGCTTTGGAGGCCTTCATCCAGCAGTGGATAGATCAGCTTCTTAAAGCCTCTCCATACTCAGGGCGGTCACATTATATATCTCCTAAATTTCACATTGTTATGCAAATCGAAGGTTTTACACATTCGGATTTAATGTGTTTTTCTGTAGTTGTCAATGACTGCGCTAAGACCATCAACCCGCCACGCTTGCCAGCCCTTTTTCATCACCGGCAGCCGATCTACCTGGATTTGAACCCAAGTTCTCGGTAGTGTCTGCTCAGTATCTCTGACCTTTGACAAAGCCGGCCGCCTCTCCGGCTACTCTTTGATGAACGTCCTCACGAACAGGCTGAAGGGCATGCGTGCGCGTTTGACGCTCGCGTTCCTGTATCTTGTGTAAATTCCACGGCGGCGACCTGACCCTGCATGCCGAGCCTTTGAACCCGTCACCCCCAGTGGGGAGCGTGCGGTAACCGCGGGGTCGTCCGGCGACGCGCGTCGCTTCATTGGACGCGCCTGTCTGTATCGTTTCGTACGTTGCCACGTTTCCCTGCAGAGAAGCGAGGGCCGCGGTCGGACTCGATGCCCCTGGATGTGGCATCGGACCCGGAGCTGATAAAGTACTGGGCGCAGCGTTACCGACTCTTCTCGCGCTTCGACGAGGGCATCCGACTCGATCGCGGTGAGGAGATGGCCCATGCGGCCGCCAATGCCAACTGTGGCTCAGTGGCTTCTTCACACTTAAGTACCTCCGATTGGCACGGTTGGCTACGTACGGCGCGAAAGAAGTTGAACATACATACTCGAGTACAGGTGTCCCTCGCTTCACGCGGGTTCAGTTTGTGCGATTCCACGCTGTGTATGGGGCTAACCTATTTCTACCCAAACTTCACTACAGCTGTCTCCTCGCGCAGTTTTGCTTTGTGGGCCCTTTTTATGGAACGCATTTACTGCTACTACCGCATAGAGCGAGGGGGAAACCTGCACTTGCACTGTACAGCCGAGCCGCGCGCCACCCCTGCACAGCTCGGGAGGAGGCAGCCTGTCTTCCCACTGCAGAAACCGAGCCGTGCCCCCAAACGTCTCACACAAAGATCAAATTATCAACCATTTTTATTTTACCAGGTAAGGCCCACTGAGCTATACAGCTCTTTTTCAGAAGCGACCTGGCCACAAATAATAACTCATCGACGTGGATTATCACGTGGAAATTTATAGCATCCAAATACTCTGAGCGCATGTTGATTCTAAATGTGTAGGGAAAAACCGGAGGATCCAGAGAAAAATCCACGCAACTACGGGGAGAGTATGCAAACTCCAAAATATACAGGCATCAGGGACTGGATCTAACCCATAACCTCCTGTATACCAGGCGAGGTAGTTAATATCTCGGCTGGTGTCGGATAACAGAGCTTTTGCTGTATTCGCAAAAAAAGAAATAGAGCAGAAATAAAGGAAATCGATGGATTTGGTCACTTGCGTCTCTGCACCTCCACCTCCCTCCACCTGGGGAAAACCGCGTGGCTTCCTGCCTCCTCTGCCCAGTGCCGCTGGCTTCCTTCTCTCGCGCAAGTGATGGAATCATTTCCAAATGTGGCTCGTGGTTGGTAGACTAAGGGCAAGGCGCTCGCTGTCACTCGAACGCACAAAATGGATTGTGCGGTCATGTGTACGCAACTTGCGGTGGGGGTAATTGAGTTTGTTGGACAAGCCTGCATGTGCTCCCTCAGCTTCATGACGTTTAATATAATAAGTATATATAGGATAATGTATTTCATGAGCTCTCCGATGTAGTTTGTATGTATGTAAGTATGTTGAACTTCTTTGCACCGTACATAGTCAACCGTGCTAATTGGGGGTGCAGGAAATTTCTGGCTTTGGCATGCGTTGTTCGGCACGGTGTCCAGACGTTTCGCTCCACGTACTGGGGGCTTCTTCAGGAACTAAAGTCAGAACGGTCTTGCCAAGCCGTCGACCTCTCTCAGGGTCCTGCGATTTAGCTGCAACTGGGAGGCTTTATCGATCATAACCGCTGTGATCAAAGTTCAAAGCGAGATGATCACCTCAGCCCAGTCACAAACAAAAAAAAACAACCCTTGATAAATTTAGTTTGTCACTTAATTTGATTTATTTTTGCTCAAGAAAACTTCAAATTTCAGTTGTATGTCAGCCCCTGACACTATGTGATGCACTGCTCACTTTGACTTCGGTCCTTGAAGACGCTGCTCAAGAAGCTGCCGGCACGTGGAAGCGAAACGTTGGACATTTGTGTCGAACGAGACACCGCGGCATCCTGCGCGGTAGAATCAATTTCGTTGCACCGTTTCAACGCTATTGTTTTAGCGAGACAGCGGGACGCGCAAGCAAGGAAGGAAGGAAGGAAATAATTGCAAATGTGGATTCGTGACAGCGTGAGTGACGACAATTAAAACGTGTGTTGGGTCAAGTCGTTTAAAATCTCCACTTGCCCCGGCTGTCGTTTATTGTTGCAGCGTTTGTTTAACAACGTCGCGGGTGGGTCATTAAAATGCTGCAGGTCAGCGCTAGAATGTGACAAATTACGTGACTTGGCAAGATGATAAAATATGAAGTAAATAGACTGATTAGTTCATGGCCACTCTGCGAGACTGTTCACCTTTTGGCTGTTTACTTTTATTTTCCTGCTTACTATCACCATCATCATCATCACTATCATCAATAGCCTTGACTAAAGCTGATGGTCACCATCAACATTATTAGCCTTGATCAAGCCACTACTGGATGAAGGCCTTCCCAAGCCGCTGCCATTTCTCGGGATATTGCGATGCCATGAACCCATTGAGCACTTTCACATGAGCTGGTATCAGCAGTTAATCTCCAATAGGGACGTCCTCTTGAGGCACATTCCCTCCTTTGTCCCAGTGTGAGCACACTGTCCATTGCAGCCAATGGGCTGCTTATAATGCTATTATACCGTTGCAGTATTTCCTGGTTATTCGCGAGGGATACGTTCCGGAGATGCTCCTGAATAGCGAATTTCGCGGATAATGATCCTGGCGTATGTCTGCAGATGCTCCTAAAGCTTCAATAAGTTATTTCTCTCTCGATCTCTCTTATCTCTTCTGTTCGTCACGTCATCTCTCATCACTTTCCCGCACCGCACTCTCTCTCGTCGCTGTCTTTCTCTCTCGGTGCAGTTGTGTAGACTTCCAGATGCGCTTCGTGGCTAGGCAAAATCGCGGCTAGCAAATCTGTGAGTAATGAGGGGAATATTGTACTCGCAATCCATCACATACACTCTAAAGCTAATGAACCAAGTTACATTCTCAACCCCGAACTCAATGGCGAGTGATATCTGATTTCTTCTGGGTCCCACCACCCCCCACCGCCCCACATAGTGACCAGTGTGGTCAAGTATAGTCAATTAACCCCTCCCCCCCCGAGACTGACACGGTGCAAGGAGGCCTCCATCCAGCAGTGGATAAATGAAGATCTGTAATCTGTCATTAATCTCGGATGATTAACGATCAGCTTGCTGGGTTTGTGGTTTGGCCTTGCCTGTTCTCTCTTTCTCCCAGTATCTCCTCCCCCGCTGCTTGTTAAGGGACGGGCCCAGTAAAACAAATTGATTGTTTTTGTTTTTTTTGCGAACGATTTGTTATTCAAGTGCACTCTTGTGATGAAATGAAAAGCCTTGAATCATTTGTTTGTAGGCCACTGCACTCGAATAGAGGTAATGGATTAACTGTGGTTGCCGATGGTTAAACAGAACAGAAATCATTGGAAGCACAAACTTTGTGGGATGATTTTAATGTGCACTGCCAAAACCGCGAGCATTTTACTAGCAAGATTGAAATTGTGGTGATTAGACATGCACAACTGTGCTGATACGTTACTGCTGTAGAAGATGCCAACACTTCACCAGCTGTTCTTCCGATAAAATGTTGCTTCTGTAGATTAATATTCTTGATCTTGGGTTTCAGAAGGATATTTTTTTGTTATTCCCAAGATGATGAATCTTCTTTTTACTTGCTTTGCACGTAACTTCATATGGTGCGTACTCGCTCAAGAACACTTACCCAGCAGTCTGTTCAAGTCCTAATGGGGGATCGTAGTCATTGTTCACAAAAACACAGCAAGTTGGTGTATTAAGCTATAACACCGGGCTTGTCCTGTCAGCAAGCCTTCCACACTTCACGTATCCTCAAAGTTCAACAACAACAACAGCTGCCATTCGCCACGAAATGGCGGTGACATCACCACGGCGCTTTTACCAGGCTACATGCACTTTGAGGCCATGTGACGTGTTGAAGGCTCGCTTACCAGAGATCCTGAAACAGACCCGTTTGTTTTGGGTTGACTTAGACGACTGGCAGATGCATCATCAGTGCTCTCGATTGTGCCAACCTGCATTTTTCTGCCCGACGCTCCGTTTCGCTTGTTTTTGTGAGCGTCATTCTTCCGCCCTCCGTTGTCGTTGGACGACGACTGCCTCCCAAAGTTAATCCACCCTGGCCAAAGTGCCACAGCGATGCCATCATTACTCAGTGGTGAATGGCTATAGTCGTTATTGTTGTTATCATGTGTACTTAAATATACTTTATAAACATGTGCTCCCCCCACCACCACCTCCAATGCCGGCCGGTGCCGGGCCAGAGGGCTGGTTCTCGGTGACGCCGGAGCGGATCGCCGAGCACATCGCCCAGCGCTGCCAGTGCGACCTCATCGTCGACGCGTTCTGCGGAGTCGGGGGCAACGCCATCCAGTTCGCGTTCACCTGCGAGCGAGGTGGGTGGCCTACAGGGTAAAGGTTAAAGCTGCCGGGTTTGCTGTCTGTCTGGCGCTGGTCGTGGCTTAGTTGTTTTTTTATTACTGCTCTCCGACAACAATTGAAAGCGTTAATGCATCAGCTCAGTCCATCTGCCTGGGTCAAGATAACCTGCTTAAAAGATGATTCAATATAAAAGACGTTTTATTGTGAAGTTGTGCTGCTTTAAGGGAATTCCCTTGGGAAACTGGGGGTATTTGATCAGAGGGTTTTTTCTTGAAAACCTGTCAATAAAAAAACCATAGTAACATAGGTTAGCCTTTTCGGCTCAGCCGATAACGTCACACGCCCTCGTGCACTGTGAATTGATTTTAAGGCTAAGTTGACCGAGGGGATGACCAGAAAATGTTTAAGCACCACTTCCAACTGACCAGGAATTGAACTCTGGTTGCTGGGTTTGTCGCACAATGCACTTACCACTGCACCAGAACCACTGCACTATTATTCCCCGCTCGCTCACTCGCAGGCGCGTACACACACCACGCACAGATACATTCATTCTTCATTCGATTACGTGAAAAGCCACAATTACATTACATGATTCCCCATAGATCACAGCTATAAATCACCATCAATTGTCTGCCTTTGACCAGTGACGTGAAGCGACTGTGACTACTTATCGTACGATGCTGATTATATGATGGGTGGCACTGTGGTTAAAACGCTCGACTCACAGTTGGGTTCAAATCCCTGTTCGAGGTCGATTCGAGCCCCATCATAATCCTATTTGGTTGTTAAAATACGTACTGCTTTGAGGAAAATCGACGGTGGTTGTCTTGCAGTCTCCGCCATGGGATTGTGGTAGTCTTTGCGTTAACTTCCCACAGAATTGGTAACAATTTTTTTCATCAACCTTAGAGATGACAGGACGTGTCAACCCCGGACTGCGATTTGATTGCATTTGAGATCTCCCTATTGTGAGTCGAACGTTCTGACCATGGCGGTACCCAGTCAGATCATCTCGTGATACAACACGGGAGTAGAACACAGTTCCCTTATGAATCAGGGATTGAAACGGGAAGTAAGTTTACCTTCCGCACCCAGCCACCCGTCCAGTCCTAACCCTAACCAACTAGACAGTAGCTAAAACCCTCACGAGCCAACCAGACCCTGAACCATCCCTCTACTCTAGCCACACTACTCGCCAGATCCTACCCCTCATAAACCAACCCCCCCACCAGCTCATAAACCTCCGCCCTACTCCTAACCCTAACCACACCACTGGCGTCCCTTTCAACACTGTCATCACTCGTTTACAAACGCCGTCAAGTCCCTATCTTGGCGCTAATGCACTCACGCTCTCACACACACACTCGCACACTCAATCACACACATGCGCGCTCACTCACGCTCCCACACACTCGCACATACACTCGCGCGCTCACTCACGCTCTCATACACGCTCCCATACACTCACGCTCGCGCTCGTTGGCACGTCCGCAGTGATCGCGGTGGACATCGACCCGGAGAAGGTCGCGCTGGCGCGGCACAATGCGCGCGTGTACGGGGTGGACGACCGCATCGAGTTCATCGTCGGCGACTTCCTGGCGCTGGCGCCGCGCCTGCGCGCCGACGTGGTGTTCCTGAGCCCGCCGTGGGGGGGCCCCACCTACCTCGACGCCCACGCCTACGACCTCGACTCCATGATGACGCCCGGCGGATATCCTTTTATGCGAAAGAGAACCGCCAGCGCCGCAGCTCCGAGTTGCCATTGGTCGATCTCGCAGCCGGACGAAGGCCCCCTCCTTGCCCCCGCGGGCGTGCGGGTCGTTGCGTGCGTGCGGGTCGTTCGTTGCGGGCGTGCGGGTCGTTGCGGGGGGCGTTGTTTGACCGTATGGGACTGTGAGAGGTGGCAAACGGCTTTGCAAGGCCTTTATCCAGCAGTGGATTGATCAAGGCTAATAACGATGAGGATGATGGTAGTAGATATCACAAGTAAAGAGCGTAGAGACCTACAAACAATAGGGAACAGTAACAATGGCAGAGTGGCCACGCAGAGTGGCCGTTGCCTCTTCATGGCACGAGTGCGGTTGTGTCTGGTGCCCGACCTTGACCCATGCTGCACGTTTGAGATTTTCCGGCTGGCTCAGCAGATCACGCCGAACATCGCCTTCTTCCTCCCTCGCAACGCCGACGTGGATCAGGTGAGGGCGCTCGGAGTGGGCGGCTGCTATGGCTGGGCAACGTGTGTGTACGTGTGTGTACGTGTGTGTACGTGTGTGTACGTGTGTGTGTGTGTACGTGTGTGTGTACGTGTGTGTGTACGTGTGTGTACGTGTGTGTGTACGTGTGTGTACGTGTGTGTACGTGTGTGTACGTGTGTGTACGTGTGTACGTGTGTGTGCGTGTGTGTACGTGTGTGTGTACGTGTGTGTGTGTGTACGTGTACGTGTACGTGTGTGTACGTGTGTGTACGTGTGTGTACGTGTGTACGTGTGTGTACGTGTGTGTGCGTGTGTGTACGTGTGTGTGTGTACGTGTGTGTGTGTGTACGTGTACGTGTGTGTACGTGTGTGTACGTGTGTGTACGTGTGTGTACGTGTGTGTGTGTACGTGTGTGTACGTGTGTACGTGTGTGTACGTGTGTGTACGTGTGTGTGTGTGTGGAGAGTGGTCATCTCAGTCAGTCGACCCGTGGCACCTGGGTCTGCCCCGTGACCTGCCAGCGGGCGTTCGACACTTCACGTGGCCTCAAGGTGCACATGGCCTGGCACAAGCGTCGTGGTGACGTCACCGCCACTTAGTGGCGAATGGCGGTTGTTGTTGTTGGAGAGTGGTAGTGTAGCGGTTATCGCGCTGCGCGACAAACCCAGCGATCTGAGTATTTGGCTGCGATACATTTCCACATGATAAGCCACTTCGTTGAGGTATCCATCTGTGACCGGGCCGCTTCTGAAAAAAATTGCTAAATAGCTCAGTGGGCCTTACGTGGTAAAATAAAAAACTGTATTTTTTAATCGACTGATATCGCGCACAGCAGTGTGTGTGTGTGTGCCACCTCCGATTTGCACAGTTGGCTACGTATGGTGCGAAAGCAGTTCAACATACATACAAAATGCGCAGCAGGTTCCCCGCGCGCACGCGTTTCAATGGGTGTAGGTTGCCAGTGCGTCGTCATGCCTTACGGAGACTCTGTCTGTGCCGCAGCTCACGTCCCTGGCCGGGTCCGGCGGGAAGGTGGAGATCGAACAGAATTTCCTCAACATCAAGCTGAAGACCATCACGGCGTACTTCGGAGAGCTCATCGAGGACTGACAACACCTCGCTTGCACGACTGCTGGAAACCGCGAGCCGTTGCTCTCCCGAGGAGCGGCTCATTTCTGGCCCCGGATCACCGACGTAAGCTACTGGGCTGCGTGGCCTCAGCTCTCTTCCGCTGTGTTCTCCCCTTGCCCCCTTGCCGCCCTACTCTATTCTCCACGGCCTTGGTGGGTTGGCCCGGAAGTTTTTTTTTAACAAAAGTTTTGTTTTGAACGCGAGTGGGGAAACTGTGGACTTGGGGCTGTATCCGGCCCGTGCGGTCATGTCATCGAACCCCATCCTCATGAGGCCTACCGCTTCGAATTTTTTTCATGTCTTTTCAAGCATCTTCATTTGCAGAACTGCAACGAACTTGATGGTGTTGATAAAAATGCTGACCACACCACGTGTAAAACTAAAAGCACACTTCCTCACCTCACGCTGAAACTTGCCCTTATTTGCTCATTTCATCTTGGCGATTTGCTTCATGGGTTGACTCAAACCGCGCGTTTGCTGAGTTTCTGCGGTAAGCACTACCAAATCAACAGTATATACATTTTCTTGATTCTTCCAGTAACATGCTGTTGTAAATGTGCCAACTCATGTTGTGGGCCCTAGGTCGTACTGATGACCATGCCACCAATACACACATGTGGCCCAAATGAATCATTCTACTACAGAGTTATTGAAAGTGTTTGTTCATCATTCCACTTATAACTTGAGTACCGAGAGTAGTCCAAGGATGAGCAGTGGACAGAAAATATGCAAATGTAGAATTCCCCGTTCCAAGATGCAAATTTGTATTTTAAAGGGGGCGTGACCCCATGACCTGGAGAATGTTTATTGGCGAGGACTATAAGCATCGCGACCACCGCCTCACTGCCATCTGCGAGTAGCAAATCATTCGATAATGGGTAAATACTCCACAAGTGAGCGACGGTGTATGTTTGGGCAAGGCTAGGAGAGCGAATGGGGATTGCATGCCACACTCATCCATTGTGGCCAATAGATGACAACTGCGCACAGAGAGCCTTGCGGACAGGGCCGTGGTTCCGAAGGTTCCATTGAAACTCGTTACAAAAATGAACGTATTAACAGTAACAGGCGTCTTTTTCAATTGCCTAGTTTAATTGTGCGTCCTTTACAAACTGTAATTCTGCGAATGTTTTTCTCTCTCGAAAAGTTGCATTACCATGAGATTGCTGTTCTGCCGTGAGTGGTGTTGAGCACATTTTATGAAGATGTACTCCTCTCGGCGATGCACTGGGATTTTTGTATGAAGCGACGGGGTAACATTTACATTTATTTGTTATTAAAAGTTGTAATCGTCATTGCTGTGCGTTTGATTTTGTGCCTTCAAATGCCACGCAGCCCCCAGGCTTAGTTTTTTTGTTGTTTAGATTATCTGGCAGTGGTGTTGCTTATGCGTGTGCAGGTGGTTAAACTGCACAGGGTCCCACTGGCCAGAGAGACCAGCACAGAGGGGGAAATTGGACAGAGGCTCCCATTGTCTGCACTAGGGTCCATGCCAACCACCCGACACCACTGCCCTGGATTATTGACCCCACAACCCCTGGCTACCAGAAGTCGTGCGGTGTAATTACCAAGCGATACACTCTCATTGGGGCAGAGCAGTGGCGCAGTGGTTAGCGCACCACACTAAGAACCCAGGGACCTGAATCCGATTGCCAGCCATGGCCAACGTTGCAGTGAGTTTGGTTGCCACCTGCCCGAGTGTGACGCTGCGCAGTCTTGGACTTGGCATCAGTGTTTGGGTGGCAGGAATTCATTTGTACCGACATCTGATGGAGGGGGGGGTATTGTGTTGAACTCTATACTGGTAGGAACCTCCTGGTTACACCAGCCCACAGGGGATTGTTGTGTCTGTCGTGCAGGGAGGGGCTGGGTGGGGAGGGGCTGGGTCGGGAGGGTGAGGCTGGGGAGGGGAGGGTGGGGCTGGGGAGGGGCTGGGTGGGGGGTGGGAGGGGTGGGGCTGGGTGGGGAGAGGCTGGTCACCGCGGCCCGGGGGTTGGTGACCCCTGCTTTAAGGTACAACACAGAAATGAGTTTTGCTGCACTGCCCTCTGCTGCCAACCACGTAATATGTTGTAAGAAATCTGGCTCATAGCGCTCGTGGGTTGATTCCGTCCTTCGTCCAGGTCCGTTACCGGGTCGCCTTTGGAGAGAGTGTGATCCTCACCAATCGTCACGTCGTCGTTTCGAATCCTCCCGCTTGGAGGACTCCCAATCCAATTTTAATCCTGCTGGACAAAACACCAATTTGCTGATGGGTGGACTTATTCCTGTCATGGGAATGCGAAATTTGCACCACGTGGGCCGACGACAACCTGGTGCAGTCTGACTGACATCGAGAGGCGTGGACTTGGCCTGCAACGACGATCTCTAGCACCCGACTGTGCTACGGTGGTGAGATGTCAACTACCTCGCCTGGTATACAGGAGGTCGTGGGTTCCATCACGACCCTGACGCGTGCTGCTGTATATTTGGAATTTGCACGTCTCTCTCCCCGAGGTCGCGTGGATTTTTCTCCGGATCCTCTGGTTTTCCCCTCCACTTTTAGAAACATGCGTTTTGAGTATTTGGCTGCTATAAATTTCCACATGATAAGCAACTTCGTCGAGCGATCATTTGTGGGCAGCTCGCTCATGAAAGAGAGCTATGTAGCTCAGTGGGCCTTACCTGGTAAAAAATTAATAGTTTAGTTCGATTGATCTGCTTAATGATGTCTACAAATGAAGGGGGCGTGGGTAGTATGGGGGGGGGGGAAGTGGGGGGTTAGTTACTAATGGTGTTCAATCCAATTGGTCAGGTGTCAAACGGCGGAAGATGCCGATACCTGATGCACACGTGGGAATTCAGATTTCTTGTGTGTGTCCACTGTTGCTACGAACACCAAACCATGGCCCACGGAACTTGGCACTTCCCGAAGCGTACCCATTTGAAGGCGGTTGGGTGAGTGAGTTGATTGGCATGACCCCTGAGATTCACCAACTCTCAGACAAAGCAATTGAATGACTAAATCACTTCGGACTGCCGACTGGACATCTGTGAAAAAGAGCTTCATAGCTCATCGGATTCGTCCAGAGTGTATAAATATGCTGACATTTCGATTTAAAGCTTTCGTGACTGCAGGGATTCATCTTCTTGGTTCTTTCGGTAAAGTCACGCAGTCTTTCCGACAGCCCTGTTCTTCACCTGAGGACGGCTGCTTGCGTTGTGGCCGAAACGTCGTGAGAATTGTATTTTATTATGTTTTATTTTAATAATTTTATTATTTCCCTTCTACGTGACTTTACCGAAAGAACCAAGAAGATGTTGACATTTCTTAATCGTTGCTCTTGAGTGGCCACGTGGAAGTGGCAGGGGCGTGGCTTCCAGCGGAGGTGGGCGTGTCTATCTGTAGAGGGCGTGGCAAGTATGGGACCGTGGATCTGTGTCGTGGCTATCAAGGGAGTATTCTGTTCCAGGATAACATTAATCCACGACAATTAATGATACATTACGTTCATGCTTTAGGCCCATATATGGAGTAATGGGGCGTGACTTTTCCCATATGATGAATACTGGAACGGCAATCGACGTTTTTTAACGATTCAACGGTCGATTAAACGGGAAACGACGTGCATCAAGCATGGATCAAGCATGGTGATTCCTGTTTACATGATTTCTGTATCGAAACCAACGAATCGTGGTACGCATAATTATTTCTGGAACTAAAGAGACGATTTCTGGATCGAAAAAGTCCAAATGAAGCCGGCCCTTGACGCTGATTGGCTTCCTTAATCATGAACACAATTTATAATAATACATTTAATTTATTTGTTTCAGTTTAATTTATTAGGTGTAGCCCTGTGAGCCATGAGGCTCTTGACTCGGGTGCAACCGCAACAAACAAAACATGAACAAAGAACATCTTAAAGTGACGTTTCGCAACAGAAACATCCAGGAAAAACCAGCAAAAATCTTCCACAAATAAAGCACCGTATATAAACGCTGTGTGCAAAGATCCCAATGGGATGCAAGTCGAACAATAACAACCATAAGACAATTTAGATTAAGTTATTAGGCTAACTCTACTACAACAAACATGGCTTATAACCATACGTTTTAGAAATCACCAAAATAAAGCTATAAAAACAATGTAACAGTGATCATAGGAACTGTGATTTAAATTTAACAATAAACGATATACATAACATGTACGACCTAACTTTGCAGCCATAGCTGGCAGCATGAGTCACTCCATAACAGCAGGAGTATCAGCAGGAGCATAAAAATGTTTCAATGCACCTTTCAAGTTCAGCACACTATAATCGAAACTCAAGATCATACTTTGCAGTGGACATCCGGAGCGATGCATTTGATTTCAGGTCACTGCATAGCAGTGGCAGCGGACGGTGTACAGCTCCTCAAGAGCAGTTTTGAGTGCAGATCTCATCGGGTAGTGATCCAAGTTGCAGTTTATTGGCGATAGCATTCCAGACCCTGGGGGCATCAACAGCAAAGGCCCTTCCTCCAGTATTTGTACGGCAATAAGGAATGTGAAGCTGGTAAATGAGCGAAGACCTTAGGTCACATTTGTTCTTCAAAACAGTGAGGAGATCCAGCAGGTAGTCTGCTGATTTTTATGTAAGTACATCATGAATAAATAAGATTTGATGCACAAGCCGTCGATCATTAAGATATGTTGTTGTTGTTTGACTTGCATCCCACTGGGATTTTTGCACACAGCGTTGGTGTACGGTGTTTTTTCTGCAATATTTTTGCTGTCTTTTCTTGGATTTTCTGTTTGCACTTAGTCACATATTCACTTTAAGATGTTTTTTTGTTCATGTTTTTGTTTTTTGTTTGTTGCGGTTGCACCCGATTCAAGAGCTGAATGGCTCACAGGGCTATACCTAATAAATGAACTTGAACTTGAATGTTAAGTTTGACCCAATGTAGAGATCGCAGTGGTGGGTCCTAAATATGCAGTTCGATGCCAAGTGATAAATTGGGTCAAGCTTCTTCAGTAAGGCGCCTTGGAAGATTAATGTTAAGGAAAGGCCAAGAGAGAATAACTAAATAGAATAAATTGACTTAAGACATTGTCGGTGAAACGAATTTCCAACGGTAAGGAATTCCACAACCAAGGCGCATTCATAATACAGGTTTTTGGGGGGGGGGGGGTTAGATCACGTAGGTAAAAATAAAAATAATAATAGAAATGAAATAATGATTTATTGTGACTTATTCTTTTATTTCTATAACTTTTTTTTATTTTTTGCCTTCGTGACTTTACCGAAAAAACCTAAGAGTATGAATCCTTGCAGTCACGAAAGCTTCAAATCTACTGAAGCTTCGTCCGAAACCGTTGCGTCACTCGCTTAATAAACATTGCGGGGCGGGGCTACTCCAAAAAAAAGGAGGGGGGGGTGGCTGATGACCCCCTTCCACCTGTCACCCCTCACCCCCACTTCACCTCACCCCCCCCCCACTTACCACCCACCCCACCCCTCCCTCCCCTCCCACCTCATACACCCCACCCAACCCACCCCTCAATCGGCGCCAATTGGCTGAGCTTGCCCCGTCGACGTCGACCAATCCGGGGTGGGCGTGGGGGCGGGGCGTTGCGCAGGGGGCGGGGCGTAGCGCGGGGCGTGGCGCGGCGCGCTGCCAAATTGCGAGGAGAGTGGCGGCCTCCTCCTCCAGCTCAGCGGTCCGCCGATTTATTCGCTCGTCAGCAACATCATCATCAGCAGCGGCAGCGTCTTACACTCACCACTACAATATTCCTTCGTCGCCAGCTGCACGCAGCCACCGGCGGTATAGAATAACTAGCAGCAGTGACCACGTCTGGCTGCTAACTACTGTTGCTCCAGAAAACAAACAGCGGTTCTTAATTGACACCGGGAAAGGAACGCTGGCAGCGACGCAGGTACGGGCGTAAGCTTGTTGTTACAAAGCGCGGTGTGTTACACGTCTTGTGTGTGTGTGTGTGTGTTCATCACGAGGTGCACCTAGCCTGGCACGGGTCCGCGGTGTCCTCGCTATTCGCGGGTGTTATTGTGTGGTGGTTTCGTTTCGACTTGTGCCCCTCGGGCCTGCTGCCACGGCCTGCTTTTGTGTGCGACTGAAGCCTGCCGCCACGGCCTGTTCCACCCGGCCCCCTCACGAACGTTGACCGTGCTGAATATATGTCGTTTTTACTTAGCTCTCGTTATTATTGTTTGTAGTTGTTTTTGCTAATGGGGTTACCGACGTACGAAAGCGCAAAACGCGTTTAAAAAAAAAGTTATTAATTCATTACAAATCACGGGACGCTGAGGCGAATTCCCTCTGTTCGGTGTTGTGGTGGAAAATTGCGTTGGTGACATTTGCCTTGTTTATAGTTTCGCACGTGTAATTGGAGCTTATATTTGCCGTTAATACCGTTTTCTTAAGTGTTTTTTTAAAATGTGTGTTGTGAGTGTATATGACACTTTCGCTACGCACTCCAATGTGGGATCGCGCGCGCGATGATTGCGGCGGCTTGCGAAGGCCTTCATCCAGCAGTGGATTGCCCATGCCCCGCTGATGATGAGTGGGCTACTCCATACTCTTAGGTTTTTTCGGTAAAGTCACGTAGGTAATATCATAATATTAATATAATAAAATAATAATACATGAAAATAACTCAATTAAATCACGACGTTTCGGAGGCAATACAAGTCTCCGTCTTCAGGTGGGACCGTCACAGCCACATTTACTGTATCAAGTGAAGGGAAATCCAAGAGACAAGATCATATATGCTGGTTACTCCATGTGTGTGTGAGCTGACATCTTCATCGGTCAAAGTTGCCCGATTATTAGATCCCAAGCTAAGCACAGTTGAGCATGACGAGTGTGTTCGTACGTAGACTGCCTGGGAATATCAGTTGACGGATTGGGCTTGTAAGGTGGCCAGAAATTTGCAGCGCAGCAGTGGATTCTTGAATCCGTCTGTGCAGAGCTTTAACTGTTTAAGATACTGCTATTAACTCTTATGCGCGATGGGGTTTTCTAAGGGTAATAATGTTTTTCCTGCCACATGTCAAATGCTCAAAAATGGAATTGGCCAATGATCCCAATGTAGCAGTCATTTCCTGAAAAAGCCTCGACACTTAAGGATATTTGCTGGAAAATAAAGTGATCGACTACAATTATTCAATCTTTGGTTGTTTTAGGAGGGCGATTGCCTTTAACATTTACTCGACGGTAAATAAAATAGTATTATGGGATGGCGATGAGGGCCTTGTTATGCTGGCTCTTAAAACATCTCAAGGAGTCCTGCTTTGATGTTAGGAGCTCATGGCATCTCCAGCCATGTCAACACTGCATCAGCATTCTAAAATAAGGGTAGCCTTAACAGACACGTCTCGGGTCATAGCCTTCCTAGAAATGTTCTTTTGCTCAACCATCACTACACATAATACTTTGCGTCACCACCACCATGCACAGTCCTTAACTGCCAACATTTATACGACTTTACCACCACTATTCACACTTCTTCACCACCATACACCAGTACTGCATCATCAGCCATTGTCTGTCAACTGCTAGATGAAGGTCGCCCCTCACCGTCCATCTCCTGGACACGAACTGATCTCGATGCTTTGTCTCTGCAGTGGTCTTCCTCTTGGACACGTTCTCTCCCTGGTTGCCCTTCTTTCACCAGTCTCATCCATCCTCTTATCTATTGATGTATCCCACCCAATCCCGTTTGCTTTTCTTAACACCGCTATACACACTGCCTTAGGTGGTGGTTAAGCATAGAAGTGTGTGATGGCTTAAGCGCCAGATGTGCACATCGCCTTCATTAATAGAAAATGTAAGACAAGCCACACAACGGCTGGCCATGCAACCCAAACTATGGACTATGTACTTGAGTAAATCGCTGTAGTCTGCACTCCTTCAACGGAGGAGGAATAGCAAAATTACACAAACTCTCTCCTGAAGCACTCTCATGGCTGGCATTTGGCTCCTGAGCATGTTGCTGTCATATGCAATAATATAATAGTGCTTTCATGGTATGGTTTAGGAACCTACTTGCCTAAAATGTGATGTCAAAAAACACTCGGCACATTCATCTCTTACAATTGGAAAATACATAATAGTTGGACATATTTGGCAATTGCCATTCTTCAGAGCAGAGGGAGAGTAATTTTGAATGTGCCTTCTCACCACTGCCATCACATGGCCTCAGTTTTTGTTGCCGTCTTAACATCTGAAGTGTCGGCTGCTGTGATATTGGGTCACAGCGTCCATGGAATGTCACCACTGCATCATGAATATAAAGCTAGTGGGCATATGTGACTATGGGGAGAAGCAGCCTGCCATATTGCCCAAATTTTTTTAGTTTGGGAGTGCTTTTGCTTTAGGTGTGGGGAGGTGATTACAACTTCTCTGTAAATGTCAATCGAGTTTCCGAAATTGCAAGTCGAAGTGCGTAAATTCACAAATATAAATGGAATACCGGTTGTGTTTGTATCACAATCGGTAGGTTGTCATTTCAGGCCATCGCTTCATGTAAGTAACATTAATACCACAAAAATCGACGGTGGTGGTCCTGTGAAGGCGACTGGTCTCCACCATACGAATATTGAACTATCACTGCTGGCTGAAGGTGACTAATGAAAGTGAGCACAGCCACAATGTTCGGTTGAGCAGGGAAACTATAAACTTTTGAACTTCTGCATAGACCGGTGAAAACTGCATCTCATGTGGCCTGTATCACAAAGGAAATGTCCTGGGTTCACTTAAACTGTGCTTAAGTTAACCTGAAATATCTGTTATGGCGTTAAAAAAACAAGCATGGCATTGCAATTGAATTGGTAAATCACTTGGAACTGAATTTATTACAGTTGCTTTTCATTGGCCATACGAATACATCAGTGTGGAGTGTAGTGCTGCGTGGTGGGGAAGGGGGAGTTGCGTCGGATGGGATAGAGGATCTGATGAGATGGAACGCTGGAGCTTATTGACCTGTCCTTCTACAGATTACTTGGCATAAACACAGAAGTGTCCAAATGGTGACATAACAAGGGAGGAGGTGTCATCCAGCTGTGCCCTCCGTTGCATTTACACAGAGGCAGTTCAGGTGTTTTGGACGGCATGCCGTTTGGCAAGTGCGTCTGACGTAAGAAGTCATTGGAGCGATCACTCACTGGCCAGGGAGCGGGAGGTTTGGCCAACCGTGGCTCAGGCATCGAGAACAGCAGCTGCCCACCCATCGTAAGTCGTCATGGAAATATTTGGGGCAAGCACGTGGGTCTCCAAACACAAACGTTGGTATGGCAGTCTTTTTTTGAGTCCTTCTCTTTCTCGCCTGTATGTTGGAATCTCGTAATGCGCAGTGAAGCGGTGGCTTTTCTTTCGTTTGCCAAGCATGGCTGAGAAAAGTTTCAAGTTCATAGGGCACTGTGGGCACCTCGAAGCATGATTGTGTACGTGAGGCACTTGCTTGTTGGGATAAGTGTTGGCCATCAGCTGTCAATGCAACTAGTAATAATAATTCAAATTTATAATGCGCATACCATCCTAGGATCCCAATGACCTCTCAGCTGAGAATTTTCATTGATCCTTGCGTGTTCTCTTTGCATTTTTGGTTTCCATCCATGCAACAAAAAACAACTGAAGAGGAATTAGCCAAATATGTCAATTCAGGATCCTTATGAAACCGGTAACTGCATGAAAAAAATGGTAAAATATATTACTGGTTCACTACACATAGAGAAATAAACATCCACATTTTAACCTTTTTGATTGGAAAACAGTGGGAGCTGCCATGGTGCAATAGTTAGCACACAGAACGTGCAATCTATCATTGCCGTTTTGATTCCATCTCCTGGTGCGGAAGTTTAAACGTACGGTACATTGCTTAAGCCTCCCGCCTCTGTCCACCGAGCGGTATGAACGGATAAACAGTTGAGCAGCAGGTCACTTGTGGTGGTGTCGAGTGTGAGGTAAGCCCACACTTGCAGGAGGTCATGGGTTCGATCCCGACCCTGACTCCTGTATATTTGGAGTTTGCATGTCTCTCTCCACGTGGTCGCATTGATATTTCTCCGGATCCTCTGGTTTTTACCTCCACTTTTAGAAACATGCGTTTAGAGTATTTGGCTGCTATAAATTTCCACGTGATAAGCAACTTTGTTGAGCTGTCATTTGTGGCCAGGTTGCTTCTGAAAAATAACAATATTTCTCCGTGGGCCTTACCTGGTAAAATAAAAAATACTTTCGTTTTAAAATATAGTTTTGAGTTTACACATCGATTGGTGTGGAAGAGTAGACCTAAAACTCCCTCTAGTGGAGGCCCAAGGAATTTTCAGGGCTGTATTTTGATCTATTATTTACCCGTGTATTAATTACCTTCAAGCTGCTGTAATGGGGTTTCCACGTTTAGCACGAGCCAGTCCGGTGCCTTAATTCCACTGTTATCGGAATATGCTCCCTTGTTTTCGGAAATTGGTCGTAAATTTTGATAACAATCACCGATTTTTCCAGTTTTTGTTCAACAACCCAAAAAGTTGATGACGCGCTGACAGGAAGCGGCAATAGTGGTGGTCAAACGTGCAACGATGGCTGTTCTCCCACGTTTCATTAATTCGTAATTCCACGATGAGACTGCAAAGGTGTTTTGGAGAAACTCGAACCTCATTTGGGAAACCTGAGAGCGGCTCTTTGGTGTGATCTCTGGCCTTGCCTTGGGCTTGTTTTATTCAAAGGGGCGCGCTTTGTGCTCGTGCTTTGCTGATGTCATTGGCGAGCAGTGAAACTTCATAGCGGCCGTTCCGTGACTCGTGGTGCGTGAGCGAGTGTAAGTGTGAGCGAGCGCGTGTGTTGGAAATATGACCCCCGCCGCTGCCGCCACTGAGCTTCACGGACAATGTTGAAACGCGTAGTCAGCATTGCAGACAC